ATACGGGCCAAAGGAACCCTTGCCCAATTCACAATGTATTTTCATTTTTTTAAGTAAATCCTAAAGCAGTCCACTAGGAGGCATGAGAATCACAAAATTACGAAGGGCTTTTTGTTACCAAAGCCTCAAGACAAATTTCATGGAAATGATTTGTTCTAAACTTAACTGCTCTTTAAATGGATCATCATTAATAGTAGCTAAAGTAAAACAACTTTAATCATACAGACATACATTCTGTAGTACAAACATACCAAATAACACTCAGGATTTGTTAGGCTGGAGGCTAAGTTCTGTTCCTTTAAGAGACCATAATGAAAACAGTTCAAGTTTTGTGGGTTATACAATCTGTCAAACAAAAAAAAAAAAATACCTCTGCAACTAAACATAGAACTCCAACTATGACCCACCCTATAATCCAGTCGTACCAGACTCTTGGACATCTACCTATAAGACAGGATATGGTAAAGACACTTGTACATCCATGTTCACTGTTGCACTATCACAATAGCCAAGTTATAGAAACATCCCAGATGCCCTACAACAGATTATGGATTGATAAAATGTGGCTTATCTCCACAATGGAATTTTACTCATCCATTGCAAAGAATGTCATTTGTAGAGAAATTGATGGACCTAGAACAAATCATGCATGCCAAGTGAAGTAAGTCAAACTCAGAGACAAAATGGTATGTTTTCTCTCCTGTTTTTGCTTTGGGTTTTCTTTTTCCTTTTAGGGGAGGAAAGAGGATGTGCAGAAAGGGAGGGAGGAAAAGTGAACAAATGTAATCATGCTGTTTAGTGGATGTGGAAAATGACTTATGTAATTTGTGAGCAGGGATGGGAAGAGGAAACTGGAGGAAATGGAATGGTAACCCCTCTGTACAACAACTTAATAACAATGAAACTATATTTTTTTAAAAAAAAAAGTTTACCTCTGCAGTTGCAGTCCAACAAGAATGGTGGGAGGCTACATTCCAACAAAATCTTATCAATTTAAATTTCATATATATATATATATACATATATATTATTTTTTTGGTTGGTCGTGGGGCCTGAACTCTGGGCCTGGGCGCTGTTCCTCAGCTCTTCAGCTTAAGGCTAGCACTCTACCACTTGAGCCACAGCACAACTTCCGGCTTTTTCTGCTTATGTGGTGCTGAGGAATCAAATCCAGGGCCTCATGCATGCAAGGCAAGCACTCTACCACTGAGCCACCTTCCCAGCCCCTAAATTTCATATATTTATGTGTCACAAAATTGCATTAAATTTTAATGCAATTAAATATTCTTCAACCATTTAAAATTATTTAAAAACTTTTTAGCTCACGGGCCATAAAAAAGCAAGCAGGAAAGATCTGGGTAGCTGGCCATCTCTAATACAGGACTATATGATCAAAATTGTTCTACTTTACTGTTAATTATGGTCAGCTTAAAGGGCAGTTTGAGTTAGAGCAAATAGTTCCCGTGTAATTTGTCAAATTGAGGCTTTTGGCTAGCATAAAACTTCCCTTGTTTCCTAAAGAAGTATCTGAAGGCAGGTGCACATGAACAGTCATGTTTGGGGAGACTTCATAATACCACCAAACTAAACATTCGTCACAAGCTAGACATTTTATGAAAGTCCAATTTATCAATGTCACTCTTATTAGTACATATCTTTGTAGGCATTGACAAAATAATGAGTTGCTATTTAAATCATACAATTTGTGTTGGTATATGTGCCCATACTGGTTTGAACTTCTAGCTCTAGCTTATTAGGTTTTCCACTCAAGCTGGTCTTCTACCACTTAAGCCACATCTCCACTTCCAAGTTTCTTAATAGTTCAATGGAGATAAATCTCATGGACTTTTCTGCCCAAGTTGGCAAATCCACAGATCTCAGTCTCCTAAGTAACTGGGATTATAAGCATGAGCTCCAATGCACAGCTGCATGAATTCTTTAAATAAAATTAAAGCTACCTAGTGTACCCCTCAGCTTCCAAAGCACCTGGTAGGACAAATCCACTGAGAAAGAGAAACTATACATGACACAGGACTGAAGTTAACCGACTTTTTCCACAGCAAGCATGCCCACCTTTTAGTTTTATGACTCAGAAGATGGTTTGATCACAGCAAAATCTCTTACCCCAACTTCCTAGCAATTAAGACTTTCTTTCTCTCTAGGGTCCAGTGATTCTCCCTTAATGACACTCAAACCTCCAGCACAAACTGTTACACGTAAAGTTTGTCTGTATTTATGGCAAGCCCCATTACAGAGAAATCCCAAATCACAGTTAAGATGAGTGAGTTGGGTTGGGGCTCACTGACTTAGCCTTTGGTCTTCATTCTACTATGCCTCAAAGAAAACAAATTTTTGCTCAAACCTCCTCATAGTAAGGAAGAACAAAAGGACACTTCCAATGATGGAATTCTTGGCTTTAAGAACCTGTTGCTTTGCTTACATTCTATTTGTTCTAGTAATTTAACTTTGGAATCTCATTTGATTTTTTTCCAAAAGAAAGTTTCACAAACAGAATCTTTGTTTGATATGCATGTAACATTCACATGGATTCTCTCCAATGTGTAAAGTGATAAGGGAAGTAACTAAACTGGACTCTGTCCTTGCTAGAATGTCAATTAGAGATTCTTTCCAGTCATCTGCCACCAGCACTCTGTTGCAGAGATGATCAAACACCCACAGTACCCTCTCACATACTCAAATGGTGTTAAATTTACTACCAACATTTTTCCTCTCCTGGTAGCAAAATTCAATTTTAAATTCATCTTTCACATCCACTCAAAATGTGTCTTTTAAGTAGGAATAACGTTTCCCCAAACAAATGACATCATATGCTCAAACCCAGATCAAATTAATTTTTAAAAAACAAAAAAAAATACCAAGTTTTTGTTTTAGCTTTTTATTAAAATGTTTAGGATACAGATTGACTTTCTTTTGTAAATGACTGTTTTACTTTTGCTGAAACAGGACATAAGCACACTCTGATAAAACACAATGAAGAATCTCAATGAGAATTCCTGTAAAAGACTCGGCCTCGGACCCTCTGTGGAGTCGAGCTCCTCACAGCAGCTTCTTTAGGAAGGAGTTCTGTGGGCAAGAAACACACTGCGGCCACTCAACTTCTCAACAACCTCTTTCTCCAGTGATCAAAATAAACCACTTTCACAAAGAGCTGCTTTACGTAGAGCCCAGTTTTCTAGCTTACTACAAAGTGATCAGGGAGAAAGAGAGGGGAAAAAAAAAAACTAACACTGAAGCCATCATACTTCTCATGTCTCTGGACAGAGATGTAAGGACAACCTTGAGCCAAAGAAAAAGTGTGCAAGTTGCAACTAGTTTACTGACAGATTTGTTCACTTAAGGCTTTAATAAACCCTTTCCAACCTGACAATTCTGTCTTAACCAGCTATGCCTGCTGTAAACACAGTGAGTACATGTACTTCCCAGACCTACCTCACTGAGCCTCTGCCTTCAGTCCCTGGCTGTGGAGCAGATGCTTTCTCAACGGTCAGTGCACTAGACTAAGAAAAAGGACTCCAACTGAACACATGACTCACTCTTACCCTGGAGTATGGCTTCCTCCTTTCCTACCCTACCACTAGGTGGAGGAAACCACTGAGTTGAACTTAAGAAGCATAATTTTCACCTTTGAAAAATCTACCTCTAATTCTGTATTAAGTAGGGGAAAAGAGAAAATTATTCTCCCATGTTAACACCATTTCTTAATTTTTCATCTTTTGCTACAAGTAGAATATAAATTAGGATCATGAAAATCCAATTTCATGTGTCACTGAGAAAATGGAATGCTATATGCTATAAAAATGTTCTCTCACACGGGGTCCTGGCAGCAGGGAGCCACCTCCAGAGGCTCTACAGGAAGTCCCAGCTGATTTCTGCAATGGAGAAAGGCAATTTCATACAAAAAAAATTTTTTTTTAAGCCACAGATGTTAACCATTACTTTCAAACACCAACAAAATAATCAGTAAAGAGAAAAGAACAGCTCAAGAGAAACCAAGTGGAAACTTTAAAACCCACTAAGAAAGTCTTTCCTAGGTTCACACAAGTGCTACAATATCAGATGACTTAAGTCCTCAACTCAGAAATGAGCCCCTAAAAGCTGTGTTCCCCTATCCAGAACATTCCCCCCTACAATCTGTACAAATAAGTGACACACTTATGCATGAGAAATGTTCTCAATTCTTTTTACTTTTTATAACTGGAAATGAAAAAGGAAGGTGCTATGAAGAGAAATGAAATGTCACAACAGTGTGAAAGCAGACTGGCTGAAGCTTGCAACGTTATAAGAAAAAATAATACCAATAACTGACCCTATAACTCATTTCTCCACAGTGAACAATCTACTATCCACTCTGTGACGAGGGATCACCCCAGCTTACCACAGTGGAACCTGCACAACTGCAGGGTTCTGCCCCTTTTCTAGTTCTCTGTACACAAGCTGATGCCAGCTCCAACTAGGAAAAGGCAGGAGAGCTTCTCCACCAACCTACTATCTCAGCAGGCAGAAGTTCACCCACCCTACTTAGCTCTGGCCTCCAATGTGCATGTGTTCATAATTTTGCCAAGGATCTAAATGCCATTCACTAGTTTAAAAAAAAAAAAAAGAAATAGAAAACTCTGGACCAAGTAAATTTTGAACTCAAACAGGAGGGATACCAATCACATTAACAACACTTTTTTTTAAAAAATAGAATCACTTTCTTTTGAAATCAACCACAGTGGTGAGACGTGTTTTTCTTTTCAGGTGTCCTATGATGGCACACAGTTTTACCCAGCAAATCCTGCCAGCTTCCGAGTCCCAGGATACTGACCTGACCCAGCATGAGTGGGCAGCGTTACCTCACAACAGTGTGGAGAAGAGCACATGTCACCACTGGGTGATGAGAGTTGACAGAAACTCTTGGCTTCTCAACACCAGACATGGTAGGAGAGCTTTCCTTGCTCTATTAGAAAAGTTCATGAGGAAGCTGTGAATAGGATCAGTCCAGAGAAGTAAAACTCTTTTATTTTCACTGTCCAAGTATCAGTCAATGTACTGGGAAAGCCAGCGAAAGCCCTCGCCGTAGCCTTGTCTCTTGAGTACACTGCACATGAACACTTCCATGGGGCGTGCATTCAGTTCCTTCAGAGTCACATTTCCCTAAAGAAGGCAAAACCAAGGCAGGCCTGTTAGCATCTCCACAGAGGCAAAGAGTGAAAGGATGATCACTATAATCACTTCCTCACTTCCTTAAATGAAAATCTAAGTAGAAACATGTCTCTTGTTTTCAGGATAGAATAAGCAACACCATTCTATTCCCAGCCACTATCTCTTGAAAAGCATTTGCTTTGAATATTGGACATTAATTGGGAAGTTATGGCAGTAAAGTGAAAAATAGCCACCGGAACTCATGGAACCAACAAGCTCTTTGATGTGTTAGAGGTCTGTTTAGATGAACATTCAGCAAGGGACACTGACAAAGTTGCACTGAGGAAATTAACAGCTCTGAACAATTTGTAAGTGAAGGTAAGCATTTCTAGAAAGAAATATAACAGTAACAAGACTAAAGAAACATGTAAAAAAGGAAGTTATCATAGATCACAAAAAAAAGATGGTTTTAAATATTAAACAAGAGTCACCAGGTGCCAGTGGTTCATGGCTGTAATCCTAGCTATTCAGGAGGCTGAGATCTGAGGATTGCCGTTCGAAGCCAATTTGGGCAGAAAAGTCTATGAGATGCTTATCTCCAATAAACTACTAAGAAAAAGCCCCAAGTGTCGCTATGGCTCTAGTGGTAGTGCTCTAGTCTTGAGCACAAAGAGCATCAGGGACAGAACCCAGGCCCTAAGTTCAAGCACCACAACCAACAAATAATAATAATAATAATAATAAGCCTAGGAATTCTACTTATCATATCTGATCTGTGTATACTGTCAGAACCTGCTTTTTTAAACAGAACCCTTCTTTAAACTGGAGAATTTATAAGCTACTAATGTGAAGACCAGTTCTATTTCTGGTTTTATATTGAACTTGCTGTGAAGACTGTTTCCTCATCTGCAAAATAGGTAACATTCTTCTCCCAGCGGAGCACCAGTAATAATCAAATACTTACTTTGATTTGATACTTCAAAATTGATGTAATACTAGTTTATAATCTAAAATCTCCACTTACAAAAATGGATTTCTAGGCTACAAAAGTCAAGAACCAAGAAGGGGCCTCTTTCTCAGAATCAATCTGTAAGATAATCAGAAAATTCTAAAAAAATTAAGATTGCCTTTTCTACTAAATTCTTCATATACCTAAATAATTACATATTACTACTTGGGAGACAGAGCTGGGTGGCTATGGTTTAAGGCCAGCCTGGGCAAAAAGAAATTTGTGAGACTCCAACTCAACCAATGGCTAAGATGGCACCGGACATCCCCAGGGCTATGAAGAAGCACAGCCCAGGCCTGCCCTGGCATAAAGGTGAGACCATATCTCAAAAATAACCAATGTACCAGGGTGCCAGTGGCTCACACCTATAATCCTAGCTACTCAGGAGGCTGAGATCTGACGATTGGTTCAAATCCAGCCCCAGCAGGAAAGTCCCAGTGAGACTTTTTTTTTTTTTTGTCATTCATGGGGCTTGAACTCTGGGCCTGGGTGCTGTCCCTCAGCTTTTCAGCTCAAGGCTAGCACTCTACCACTTGAGCCCCAGAACCACTTCTGGTTTTCTGAGTGGTTTTACTGAAGTCTCACAAATGTTCCTGCCAGGGCAGGCTTTGAACTGCGATCCTTAGATCTCAGCCTCCTGAGTAGCTAAGATTACAGGCGTGAGCCACCAGAGCCCTCCCGGCCTCAGTGAGACTCTTATCTCCAATTAACCACACAAGAACTGGAAAGTGGCATTGTGGCTTAAGTGGCAGAACACAACCCTTGAGCTGAAGAGCTCAGGGACAGTGCCCAGGCCCAGAGTTCAAGCCCCACAATGTAATATGGGGCTGGAGGCATGGCTCACGTGGTAGAATATCTGCCTAGCAAGCATAAGGCAGACCCTGAGTTCAATACCCCATATTAAAAAAAAAATCAGCTGGGAATGTGGCTTAGTGGTAAAGTGCTTGCCTAGCATGTATGAAGCCCTGGGTTCAATTCCTCAGAACCACATAAACAGAAAAAGCCAGAAGTGGTGCTGTGGCTAAAGTGGTAGAGTGCTAACATTGAGCACAGAGGAACTCAGGGACAGTGCCCAGGCCCTGAATTCAAGCCCCAGAATTGGAAAAAAAAAAAAATCAAGAAAATGGGTAAAGAAAGGGACAGGAAGTTAATCAGTAGCCTGATGTGTAAGGCCCTGGATTTAATCACCAGCACTATCCAAAATAAATAATTTCCCTTCCTTTAGTGAGCCTACAAAATACCCATACTAAGATAAATCCTAAGCCCATTTTAAACTTTTGAAAGTAGATTCCAAACAGCAAAACATCCATTATTTAAACATTGTGGATATTCTTCCTAAGACTCACAAACATTTTCCCCTTACCTTTCCTGTGGTCTGTCCATAAAGTCCAAATATCTCACGGAGCTTTTCTTCACTGATAGCATCTGATCTGTCAATTTTGTTTCCCAAGATAAGGATTGGCACATTGGATATTGTTTCATCAGTCATTAAAGCCTAAAGGTAGGATTTAAAATAATTTTTTAAAAAAAGCTAAATGAAGAACCTATAAAAGCCCAACAGATTAATGAAAACTCTGACTTTTCCTGGTTTCATATGGCATCATATATGTAAAGTGTGAAAATCTGATGAAAAGACTGCTTTCGCATTAACTGCCTCTGTTCCCAAGATAGAACTGTCCCAACCTCCACTCAGAGCTGATTTGCTCAACTACAAGAATAAGCACTGAGCACAGACTTGGAAGAATGAATGCTCTGGCTACAGAACTCAAGGATATTATAGGAACTCCTGTACAGTCATTCAGTGCCAATACAGACAAAGCACAACCTCCAATACTGACAGAGATACCGATAGTAGAAAAGAGTTGCCTTCTTTAAAATCCTAACTCTTATTATTTTTTTTTATCCTATTTCTCCCAATCCTAAATTCTATAGATGGTCATACTACCCTGAATGCACCCAATCTCATCTGACCAAAGTACTTGGCTGGGATAAATCCTAATTCTATATTCATGTTAACCAAGCTAAAAAACAAAATGTAATACTTGACTTTCACAATGAACTAGGATAGACTACTAATACTAAAACAAGTTCAGGGAAAGAGAATGACATTTGGGTTGGAGAAAGTCTTAGCAAAGATATACAGAAGTATAAAGAGTATAAAGGAAGTATAGAGTTGGATTAGTGGAAAGGAGAATACAAGCAATGGCTCTGCAGCAATTTAAGAACTGAGGAAGCCACACAGAGAATAACATGGCTAGATTAATGCCCTTACATCAACCTGCAGTGAGAGTAAACAAAATGGTGCCACATCCCACATTCTGGAAGTTAGCTGCATCATTCCCTAACAGAGACTGTAAGTCCAGATGTGAATTAAAGTCTAGACCTTCAGACCTTATTCTAAAAAGGGTAAAAAATAAAAAAGGCTGGCAAGCATGAGTCAAGTGTTAAGAGAACCTGCCTAGCAAAGCACAAGGCTCTCAATTCAAACTCAGAAGTATAAAACAAGGAAAAGAAAAAACTCTAACAGTTACAGGAGGTGAAAGGAGGAAGCAGGCAGGGAATGACTTCTACATATCCAAAGAAGGAAAAGGGTAAGTTGTTCTCTATGTTTGAAACATATTTGATGATACCCAATACAAAGAAAGGATGCTGGAGAAAAGCAGCAAAAGGAATAAGAGACTTTCGTGCTTCACAAAAAATTTGTGGCCAGGAACCAGTGGTTCACGCCTATAATCCTAGCTACTCAGGAGGCTGAGATCTGAGATCACAGTTCAAAGCCAGCCTGGGCCGTAACTTCCGTCTTAACTCTAACTACCAGAAAACCAGAAGTGACACTGTGGCTAAAGTGGTAGAGCACTAGCCTTGAGCTGAAGAGCTCAGGGACAGCATCCAGACCCAGAGTTCAAGCCCCACAACAGACAAAATAAAAGCAGGGAAGAAATAAAAAAGAAATCATCAAGCCAAGAAAATGAGAAACTGATAAAAAGAGAATCCTATAAAGTGAATTCTTGATAATATCAAAGGATTTATGTAAATAGACCGTTAAGGTCTGGCAAGTAGGAGAGAGGTACAACCCAAGAAGGAAGATCTGCAATGCCAATATAGAAGTACTACTAACTTGTTGCTCAAGCATAAACTATTGTGTCCTGAGCAGTATTAGCCATACCATTACACTATGACAGAAACCATCAAATTTATTCAAGTTCAAGCTGAGGTTGCTCAGGCAGTGAAAAACAATGTCACAGATTTTCAAACATTTTTTTTTTCTTTTTGACTACAACTCTGCACACATGCTAGTTGGAATGATTAATCACAGACACTACTGAGCTACATATCATAGAAGAAAAAGAGGCCAAGAAAAAAAAAACAACAAAACAAAAAACGTACATTAAGCTCAACTTTGGATTCCATGAGGCGAGAATGATCTGCACAGTCCACCAGAAAGACAATCCCATTAATTGCTGGAAGATAATTTTTCCAAACCCGACGTGCTAAAAAACAAAGTTTGTAGATGTATCAACAAAAACACATTTTGAAAATGTCTACAAAATAGGAAAACTTTGGATGGTCTCAATACCTTAGATTTCCTATGGATTTCCAACTCCTGGCCAACAGGATGCAAGCTGATAACCCATAGACTAACCCTGATTTCTGTAAATTTAACAAGAGTTTCTGCCTTCCTTGAAAAATAGCAACATGTGGTGGCAATCACATGCTTACCTACCTAAAAACCAACAATCAGCTAGAAGTGAACAGTGGCTGCCCCTTTAGATGAAGTCTGAGTTCTTCAGTTTACCAAAATGTCCACCATTCTCTAGTGTTACACCCTGACAATCTGACTCATGTAAGTGACCAGTGCCATACTGAGAGCCACTTGTTTGCAAAAGCAGTAAAAAAAAAAAATTCAAATTAGTTGCCAAAAAAAAATATTTAGTCACAAGTTAGTTCCAGTCACTCAACCTCTCACATTGAGCATAAAGTCTTAGAAATGCTTTAGGATTTTTTTGTTGTGACAGGGTTTCCCTATGTAGCTCAAGCTCACCTGGAACTCTCAGCCTCACCTGGAATTATAGGCATGAAATGTTTTGTGACAAGAGGTAGTAAATGAAAGTAGTGCCGTGTGTGTGTGTGTGTGTGTGTGTGTGTGTGTGTGTGTGTGTGTGTGTGTGTGTGTGTGTGTGTGTGTGTAATTTCTTATAATTATTCAGCCTCACCTGGAATTATAGGCATGAAATGTTTTGTGACAAGAGGTAGTAAATGAAAGTAGTGCCGTGTGTGTGTGTATGTGTGTGTGTGTGTGTGTGTGTGTGTGTGTGTGTAATTTCTTATAATTATTTCTTTTATCCAGGTAATATTAGTTTGAACTCAAAGACTTGAATTTGCTAAGCAGGCACTGTACTACTGAGCTATGCCTCCAGCCCTAATTTCCTAATTTCTTTCTTTTGTCAGTCCTGGGGCTTGAAGGCTTGAACCCTGGGCCTGGGCACTGTCCCTGAGCTTCTTTTGTTCAAGGCTAGCACTCTATCACTTGACCCACAGTGCCACTTCTGGCTTTCTCTTTGTATGTGAAACTGAGGAAACAAACCCAGGGCTTCCTGCATGCTAGGCAAGCACTCTACCACTAAGCCACATTCCCAGCCTCCAGCCCTAATTTCTAAGCCATTCATTTCTAATCCTTACAATGGGGTGAAAAAGAAAGCATACAGTGAATTCTAAATGCAAATAATGTATAAGATAAAATGACACACTCCTTTGGGAGAGAGAACAAAACTACAAGTTCATTATACACATTTACTGAGCTCTTACCTTGCTCATGCCCACCAAGATCAAAAGTTGTAAACGTCATTCCAGCAATTGTCAGTTCTTCTGATGCTGAAAAATTGTGAAGAGGAAAGAAATTTTTCCAACCAAAGGTCCAACTACCATTACTATACATTAACACTAATATACAACTTAATGTTTTCTCCTTGTAAAGATAAAGATACAGGAATAAAAAAACACTCTTATTAACCTGTTTCAAACAGGTTCCAAATTTTCTTGTCCCCCTATGATGTTTTCCACTTTGTAGAAGCAGGTATGGGAGATGTGCCCCATTACAGAAGCAGTGCGAAGAAATAATGGTAAAGTTCCAGAGGTTTACAGTAAGCAACCTGAGTATTTCTTATAGGTAACTTCAAAATGAGCTGGCTTCTGGGATCTCAGTTAACAAAAGTTAATTGAGTATTCACTCTCCAAGTTTCACATTGACCTTCAAAGAGCAGTAGAACACTTGCTTTGAGCTGAAGAGTGCAGGGACAGCGCCCAAGCCCAAAGTTGAAGCCCCACACCGACAAAAAAAAAAAAAGGTCACCTGGTATTTTGAAACCTACTTGGATGTAGTGTTGGAACATGCTGGCCCAATCTGTCATCTTTGAGCATGTGAAGAAGAGTAGTTTTGCCCGCATTGTCCAAGCCCAAGAACACAAGTTTCCCAGATTTCTTGTAGAGTCCTAAAGGAGAAAATAATTTTTTAATGTAAATTGTCTCTCCCCAATACCAAAAGCTTCTCACATGTAAATTGTTGGGGAAAATGTACAACGTTTGAAACTACAACAGGGTTCAAGGAAAAAGCTTTACCTAGGAACTGGAGCACACTGCTGAAGCCATTGTAGATCCACTCAAAGATGAAAGACATTATTAATGCTTACTACCTGTATAAAACATTAAAATAGCAACATTAGCTTTCTGAATGCCACCATATTTCTAGAGAAGTTAACTTTTATTCCTATATGCATGTCTACAGACTCTTTTCTGGCTGATCAAAGACAAACTAATCCTCGCCCCCCTCTCCCCACCAAGACAAGAATTCTGCCTTGGAAGAAGCTTCTAGGATCTGATGTCTACATTAGTTTCTGGTTTCCTAATTTTCAAAGTGATATTCAAAGAACTAGAAGTTAGTAGGTACACTTTCTTCTTTTACTATGTGACTGGCTCCTACAGGCAGCTGCTCATTCACACTCCCTAGATATACCACTGTTGTCTGTCTACCAGTTTACAACACCTCTAAGAAAATCATTCTCATCAATAATCTGGATCAAAAGGCCAAACAGATGCACTAGGTAGGAAATGAAAATGAAAAGCATATTAACCTGAATGAAAATCCTATTAAGCTACCACTGTTCACAGTTCTAAAAAAAAAAAAAAAAAAAAAATTCCAGGCTTGGGTGACTCATATTTGAATTTCTACTATCTAGGAGGCTGAGATCTGAGGATCACAGTGTGAAGCCAGCCCAAGTAAATAAATCAGACAAACTCTTACAACTAATCTGCAAAAAACAGGGAGTGGAGGTGGCTCAAGTGGTAGAATACCAGTCTTGGGCAAAAAAGCTAAGCAAGAGTACAAGACTCTAAGTTTAATACTGGTGAGGCGTGCGTACATGTGCGCACACAAACACACAAATACACACACAATCATTATAATAAAACAATAGGTTCCTAAGTACAACACAGTATTGATATTAACATCACCCTTCCTACTATTCCACAGGCCTAGACAAGCAGTGTACAAAACTACTAACAGGTCTACAATGGTATTGAGCAACAGCCTCAAGAGTGAAATTAAGAGAGAAGGATCTAGAGAAATTAGTGACTCCTTAGGTTTCTCAGGCACATTTCCTGGTCACATTGAATGTTTTGCCTCTATCTGATTTAGGGCAGGGCAGGGGAAAGGAACGTTATCACCATTTTCATTCCCCTCCCTCAGCAGGGGCATCTCAACACAAGATTTTTAATTAGCTATGACAAACTGCTGTCTTTTTCTGTGTTGCCCAGACTGGCCTGAACTCCTGGGCTTAAGCCCTCCTCCTATCCTAGCCTCTGAAGTCAGGACTAGCCCCTTTGCCCAGCCCCACCTGTATTCTTAGAAGAATTCAGGGTGGAAGGAGTACAGATAGCTCCTGTCTACAATCCTAGTTACTTCAGGAGGTTGAGGTCTGAGGATCTGGGTTCAAAGCCAGTCCAGGAAGGAAAATCTCTGAGACTCTTATCTCCAATTAACCACACACACACAAAAAAAGGCCAGACTGAAGCTGTGGCTTAACTGGTAGAGTGCTAGCCTTGAACAAAACAGCACTAGGACAGTGCCCAGATCCTGACTGGTGCATGCACCTATGCACTTACAAAAAACACATGCACACAGGCACACACACAAGAATTCAGGCTGAAGAGGAAACTGAATGTAAACATGGTTTTTTTTTTCTCCTTTTTATCCAAAAAAAAAAAATGTGTTTTTATCAGGTCTGTGTTGTGGCCTATGAACACAGGACCTACTTAATTGCTTACTTTCCTCAGCTCTTATCATAGAGGGAACAAATAAAGTGGGAGTCTGGGTAGTGATACAGATTGAAGAAAAAGTTTTCATGAAAAGATACTAACTAAAGGTTTGTTTTACCCTTTTCTACTGAAAATATTTTTTGGAAAAAAAAAAACAGTTGACATGTTAAATATCTTTTTTATCTGGAAATGTAGCACTGTTAAGAAATCCAACTAGTTGGGGCCAGGTGTGGCTCAAGTGGTACAGCAACTGCGTAACAAGTATGAGGTCCTGAGTTCAAACCCAAGACTAAGAGCAGCTGCCCAAAACAACAACAACAAAAATAAACAGGAAAAGAAATATAGAACCTTAAATATACTTACAGAGGTCCTATATCTCTGTTCCCATTTCTGTAGGTAAATAGAAGAATGTTTTCTCTATAATCCCCTCTGGCCTTGATGGCTCTTCCATCCTTGAGATCTCAACATATCAAACAACTCATCCTTGGTAACAGAGTTTGTACACTACCTGCACATACATCTCAATTCATCCTTACACCAACTTAACTGAGCAAGGACCACTGGCCTCATTTACCAAGAGGAAGATACTGACACTCCTAGGCTAGCTAGTTTGTCCAAACTGCATTGCTGAAAAAGTAACAGTTCTAGGACTTAAATCCTCCTGTTTTAACACCAAAGTCAAAGCCCTTCCTGTTACTATAAAATTACAAAATTGCTTTTAAAAAAATAAAGGAAACACTTCCTATAATACACCAACTGCACAGATAACCTCTAAAGCCTTTATAACAAACACTTTTTGAATGGTATTCTAATAATTAGCAACTTACTTTCGTTTTTTCATCCACTTTATGGCATTATGACAAGTTAGAGTACTCTAAAACTTAAGGGCTCTGAAGACCAACAAAAACACTGCTGTACCTAAAGCAAAAGCTTGCAAGTTTCAGGACTGACTGGTTCAACCAAATATAAAGGATAAACATCAAAATAACCATTAACGAAAAATTTACACATTACTTCTTACCTTCTTACACACACTCAGAGCAACTTGGAAACACCATTCCAGACAGTATCTAGACAAGAAGGCAGCTGGCCTTTAACTAACAAACCCTGCTTGGCTTGGGGGATATAAATGTCAAAGGTCATCAGCCCTACAGCAATTCTCCCTAAACCTCAAGCATCTTCCTGAACAGATGGATTCCCCTTCGAGGGAAAAGACAGGATGAGCAAGGGTGCAAGAGGCAATCTGGTGCGATCTTCACCTCCAATAAATCATGCGGAAAACACTAATCTATGCCAAACGCCCAAGAGTAAATTTTTCCATGCACACCGGAGAAAGGAAAGAGGGAGGGAGAGAAGGAAAGTCAGGGTTCGAAACAGGCCATCAGAAGACAAGAGCAAGCTTACGTGGGGAGGAGCCCTGAACTAGGAGCCTGCTGACCTGGTTGGGGCGCTCTCACCGGCTGACCGGGCCTGGGGCCTCGCCGGGCCCCAATCCCTCCCAGGGTCTGTGAAACAAGGGGGAAATCGCCGAGGAATCCCACCACCGACGCAAGGCCGTTTTGTGAACCCAAGCCCGGTCTGTTACCCGGCCCAGCTGCTGTAAGGACCCCCAGGAAAGATGCAAGTGGACCTCATACCCTCGAGGCCGGCGGCCGCAGGAGCAGCCCCGGCGCAACCGGCCCGTCTCCGCCCAGAACCAGCCCCAGGGCCCACAAAGCCGCCTGCGTGTCACTTCTCCCCCCCCCCAGCCCCCGCCGGGCTGGCCTCCGCCCCGACCCTCTCCGCCGCCCACCCCAGAACCTCGGACCCCGGCTGCCTCCTCCGAAAGGCCCCCAGACTCACGGCCCGAGGGTCTCCTCTGGTGGCGGCGGGCGGCTCCGACCCTCCCTCACAGCGCACGGACCAGCAGCTCCTGGGACCGCCAGCAACTCACCGGATGCACGTCACCACACCTCCCCAGACACTTCCGGGCGCGTGCTGGTCTCCGCCCCTTCGTAGCGTCCTGCCGCTCTCCCTAAGTACCGCCCTACCAGCCACTCAGGCTTTGGGGGCCGGCCGACGGCGTGACGTTGCTCTAGGGGGCGGAGCTTGGACCTAAGCTTTTGTCGGGCCACAGGATACGTGGCACAGCTGGGCTGGGCTGAAGGGTGTGTGTGTGTGTGTGTGTGTGTGTGTGTGTGTGTGTGTGTGTGTGTGTGTGTGTGTGTGTGTGTGTGTGTGTGTGTGTGTGTGTGTGTGTGTGTGTGTGTCTGTGTGTGTGTGTGTGTCTGTGTCTGTGTGTGTCTGTGTGTGTCTGTGTGTGTGTGTCTGTGTGTGTGTGTCTGTGTGTGTGTGTCTGTGTCTGTGTCTGTGTGTGTCTGTGTGTCTGTGTGTGTCTGTGTCTGTGTGTCTGTGTCTGTGTGTGTGCTTGTGTGTGTGTGCACGCTTTTGTGTGTGCTTTCGTGTGTGTGTATGTGTCTTTTGCTTCTAAAATTCAGACGGGAAAATAAGATATAAGACTAGTAGTGCAACAAACAGGCTCCAAAAAAAATCTAATAGTGTCCACTACTAATTAAAAACAGCACAAAAAAGACAAACCAGCTGGGCTCTCTGGTGGCTCACACCTGTAATCATAGCTAACTCGAGATCCTTTAGGTTTAGAAGATCTCTGAAGCCAGTCTGGAAAGAAAAGTCCTCAGGACTCTATCTCAAATTAAATAGCAAAATATCAGCACTAACCAAGCAAGCTGTGAGGCGAAGTTCAAACCCCCAGTACACCACACACACACACAGAGATGAGCCTCCTTCAGTCCATCTCAAGTATGTGAAGAAAGAAAATTAAAATGGCACTAAACATTCTAGCAGTACACAGAAAGACCTAGATAGGCTAGCTCACCAGCTTCTCTGCTTCTTCATCCTGTAGGTTTTTGGATATTGAGTTTGAATCTTCCTCAGATACAGAAAGGGTTCAAGCCATATTCTGAGGTTTTTTTCGCCACCTTTGGGCAAATCAGGGATTTTATGGGGCTAGGATCTCCAAAGTTTGCAACCCCAAAAGGAACAGATCTGCCTCAGTGCTAACTAACAATTTGGGTTACTGGTTCTGAGGGAAGCTTGGCTGTAAGAAATATGGTAGTTCAGAGCACAAGGAGACATGGATGGCTTACGTTGCTCTGGAGGAAAAAGAAAGCACTCAGGCAGCTTTTCAGGAAAGGTACACATGTTACTTACCAAGTTGAAATATTTGGTCAAGCTGAAAAATTCCCAAGGTCTCAGTGCACCCACCTTTAAAATGGTAAAGATTACCAAAAAAAAAGTAGAGATCATTATCAGTATAAAACAGGTTTTTCCAGATTAAATGTTTCTACCATTTGTTCTTAAATAATATTTAGATGATTGAGGCAACTTGATGGGTTTACAAAAAAGCCAAATTGTGTCCATGACACAATATATCTAATAAATTCCAAATGATTCAGAGGCTTGCCTATATTCTGCTTGGAGTGAGGTTCAGTGGCAGAGCACAGGCTTAGTATGCCCTGAGCCCTGGGTCTAATTTTCAGCACACACAAACACATATACATTTTGGGCTGGGAAGGTGGCTCAGTGGTAGAGTGCTTGACTTGCATGTATGAGGCCCTGGGTTCGATTCCTCAGCACCACATAAGCAGAAAAAGCCGGAAGTGGGGCTGACACTCAATTGGTAGAGTGCTAGCCTTCAGCTGAAGAGCTGAGGGACAGCTCCCAGGCCCAGAGTTCAGGCCCCAGGACCGACCCAAAAAAAAAACACATACACATTTAAATAGCACTATTGAAGAAGAATAAAAGATAAAAGAAAGCACAGATTCTTTATAATCTTTCTCTCTCTCTTTTTTTCCAGTCCTGAGGCTTGAACTTAGGGCCTGATCATTGTCCCTGAGCTTCTTTTGCTCCAGGCTAGCATTCCACCACTTATGCCATAGCAGCACTTCTAGCTTTTTCTGTTTATGTGGTACTGAGGAATCAAGCACTCTACCACTAAGCCACATTCCCACCCCCTCTTAATAATCTTAAAATATCAAAGATCTTTCTGGTTAGGATTGAAAATACAGAAACCATAAAGGAATCACAATTGTCAGATACTGGTAACTCATTCCTATACGCCTGCCATTCAGGAAGTTGAGATCTAAGGACTGAGATTCAAAGTCAGGCTGAGCAAAAAAGTCCAAGATACTCTTATTTCCACCAAAGAGCGAGAAGTGTAGCTGGTAGAGCCAGTGTACTGTGGTGGTAGAACACCAGCCTTGAGCAGAAAAGCTAAGGGACATGGCCTAGGCACTGAGTTTAAGCCCTGGGACTGGTGTAAAAAAATACAGCTAGTATGAAAAACGGCTGCAGAGTGCCTCCTGGAAAGTCTGAGGCTCTGAGTTAAAATCTGTGCCACAAAAAAATAGTTTTTCTATACTTGGCACCCAAATCAGCACCTCTTCCATGCTAGGCAAGTGTCCTACCACCATATTATACATGACCCACATCCACACCCTATCACCTCTGCACACTCAGCCACTTCCTACATACATAGAAATGAAAGAATTTCTAGATTGTTCATAATATATAATACAATGCAAACTATATTTCATTGTTGTACTGCCTTGTTTGTAGTAATATCTGTACATGTTCAATACAGATGCAGTATTTCCAGAAATATTTTTAATCCACAGTTGGTTATATCCTCCAATGGAGAGCTAATATGGAACCAACAAGTGTACTGGAGAAGACATTGAAAGGTTTCTTTGATAGTAGTTTGACCTCGATTCTGGAAGGCACCTTTTTCAAAGGCATTTCTATGGTATGCTGCAGAAGGGAGCAGCCAGGGGCAGTTCAGATGGCCTTTTCTCCAACTGCTATATCTCCTGTGTCTTCAGCTCCTCATGTTCAGTAGAACAACTTAGCATGTCTTGGGTCAGCACATTCTAGTTTCCTAGATGTGTAAGATTATACCATCTTGGAAAATGGGTTCTTGATTTACATTCCAGTTCTTCTACTTTTGTGTTTCAAAAGGTTTTTTTAGACATTTTATGGCTTCCTTTACTTAGCATCATGCCTTTAAGGTTTATCCATATCCATGTTGTAGCATATAGCAACACATCAGTTTAGTTTAGTTTAGTTTTTTTTTTTGAGGGGGGAGACAGGGTCTTGGCTTAGACTGAGCTGGCCTGCAACATGAATACAAGGTTGTATCACTTTCACTACTTTTTACAGCTGAGTAGTAGGCCATTGTTAGTATATGTCATCTTTTACTCATTCATCGATTTTATTTATGCTTTTTGGCTATTTTGAATAATACTACTATAAAATTGTATAAACATGTATGTATTAGCTTACAGTTTTACTGTATTTCACTAGTGAACACTTTGTTGTTGGTTGTAGGGCTTGAACTCAAGGTCTAGACACTGCCCCTGAGCAATTTTGCTCAAGGCTAGCACACTATCACTTTGAGCCATAGCTCTACTTCCAGTTTTTGAGTGGTTAATTGGAGATTTAAGTCTGGTAGGGACTTTTCTGCCTGGGCTGACTTTGAACTGTGATCTTCAGAACTCAGCCTTCTGAGTAGCTAGGACAACTGGTGTGAGCCACCAGTACCCAGCTGTGAATAGTTGGTGTGTGTGTGTGTGTGTGTGTGTGTGTGTGAACACTTTTAAAAGCAAACAACAACAACAATGAAGTAAACGAGTTATTTGGTCACTCCAGCTCTTAGCTCAGTATGTCCTTAGGACTACCTTGCATACTTATTCACTCCAGAATGCTGATCAAGTCCACCCCCTGCTGATGGTAATGGATAGGTTGGAAGCTGTATTCTGAGTAAAACAGATTGCTTAGCAGAATTTACAGTACAGAGTAAGGCAGGTTCCATAGAGCATTAGCCATTGCTGTGAATCCAACAGCATGAGTGCAGCCCACAAATCCCCACCCAAGAGCTTGTAGAACCGCATATCCTCAGCATCTACTCCATATCTGGGAAATCAGAATCTCCGGGGACAGGGCCCAGCAATGGGCTTTAACAAGCCGTTGAGATAATTCTGACTTACCAGGGAGGCTTGAGAAGCAGTTACAGAGTTCTTTTGAAAGTTAATTAGGCATTACTAGGAAAGGAGAAAAACCATATTAAATAAGCTCAGAGATTTACTTTAATACTAAGATGTTCAAGATTTTGGAGCACTCTCTTAAACAGCTAGTATGAGGGCAAACCAGTCAGACTTCCCTGAGGGAATTTAGCATACCTGAATGTTTGTAAAGGTACAAACTCATCTACCTGTATCACTTCTAGGAACTCAACCTTGGGGAAGAAAGACAGAGATATTTTCTGAGATATGTCTACAAAGATGTCCCTTCATTACAGAATGATTTTAAATCAGAGGAAATTAGATAAAAACAAAAAGGTTTATTGGAAATAACCAAAATCATAGTCAATTAAATCAACTGTTACAGATTTTTATTACATAACTTTTTGAGTCTTTTATATAATATGAGCTTTTATTTTTATTTTCCTTTTTTTTTTTTTTTTCTGGGCCTAGAACTTGAACTCTGGACCTGGGCATTGTCCCTGAGCTTTTCTTGCTCAAGGCTAGCACTCTTACCAGTAGAGGTACAGTTCTACTTCTGGCTTTTTTGGTAGTTAATTGGAGTTAAGAGTCACACAGACTTTGTTCTCCAGCCTGGCTTCAAACTGTAATCCTCAGATCTCAGCCTCCTGAATAGGATTATAGGTGTGAGCCACCAGCTCTCAGCTCTCAATTTTGTTTTATAGCTATCCTCACAGACTGTATATGTGGGTGTATAGACAAATGGTTCTTATTATTAGTAACAGTTCTCTTCTATAAAGTCACTGCTATCTGCTGTTCCTTAGGAAAGGGAATTTGCTCAAAAACATGGACTGGAGGTATGGTTCAGGTGGTAGAGTGCCAGCAGTGGGCAAGAAATCCAAGCAG